GGTCTATTTGAGTGATTCATGTCATAGAATTGAGTTTGAATTGTTAATCCTAGAAACATTACTTAGTCATTGATCATCCCAAGTCAATTGTTTTGCCCAAAGCCCGTGCTTCCTATATTTGATCAAGTTTCTAGCTGTTGATTTTACGGTTGACTTTTAGTTGATTTTTGTATTTGAGTTTGTTTATGCTTATTTATGGTTTGTTTAGGTCTTGTTTAGTTTATTTTTAGCATTATAGTCTTGTTCATATTCATTTTGGACTCTCATTTGCTTGTTTCACTTAGTTGCATCATTAGGACTTTGAAGAAAAACCAAAAACATTATTTAACTTAGATTAATCAATTGTTTGCATTCTTATTGTGCTATTCTAACTCCTTATGGATCGATACCCTAATTACTACTCGTTGCTTGCACTTGGGCTTAGTAATCTTGGATTTTAAAACCTTTAACACAACAGTCCTTTAGCCATGTTGCATCAGTGAAACAAATAGGTCCATCAAGGTGAGGCGTGTTTATCTGGATCAGCCCCTAAGAATCAATGGCTAAATTTGGCTAAGTATGAGAGAAACCCACTGAAACCCTTAATGGAAAACTCGTGGAAAACCTTAACAGAAAACCCGCGGAAAACCTTAACAGGAGAGTTAAGGAAATCTGCAGAAAGTCTTAACGGGAAACTCGCAGAAAACCTTAACAGGAGAGTTAAGGTAACCCGCGGAAAAACTTAACGGAAAACCTGTGGAAAACCTTAACAGGAGAGTTAAGAAAACCCACGGAAAACCTTAACGGGAGGGTTAAAGAAATCTGCGGAAAACCTTAACTAAACCCTCGGATAACCTTAACCCAACCCGTGGCTAACCTTATCCGAAGGGTTAACCCGACCCGCGGCTAACCTTAACTCTAAGGGCCAACCTGACCCGCGGGACATTGAAAAAGAAGGAATGGGCCGAGCTGTCAGAAAATGGACCGATCCGTGAAGAGGAAGCCCATGACGCATAGCCGACTCCGCGGAAAGAGAATCACAAAGAATAAGGAAGCTTCCCTTATCTTGTTAGCAGTAGCCCTAGTCGCGGAGAATGACTATATATATCATTGTAAACCTCAATGGGATCCGCAATTTTTCACAGAAAACCCTTGTAACAAAACTTGACAGAAACAACAATAAAATCCATCTTCTTATCTTTGCTTTCCATGATTCGTACTTAGAGTTCTCCGTTCCTTAAAACCTAGACAAATTATATTGTTCGAGTTTCCATTCTCACATGCGCCCTGAACCACTTTCCACTCCTTCGCTTCCCTGATCGCTTTAGCTATAGTTTCCTCCAGTGTATAAAGCTTGTTCTCAAAGATTAATATGTTTCAGGACCAAACTGAAATAATCACGGACCTCTCAAACAGAGAACTTTGAGATGGTTCAGTAAACTTCAGATACAACACACAACTATTAATGATCACCAAATCTTTATTCAGAAATATTCATAGAAAACTGATTGCACCTACAATCTTTTCTACT